GATGTTAGGAAATTGCTGAACTTCTAGCACTAGTCAGTTGAAAGGCATAGCATGGCATAGCGTGTGGAGGAAATCCACACTGCGCACATGCCGTTTCAGCGCTGTAGCGCCGAGGCCCAGTACTTCTAGTGGCACGCTGCTTTCACCCTTCACGGAGGTGTCGACGCTAGTTCAGGTTGGTTGATGCTGACAGACAGCTCACGACACCAAATTGCGCTGCGGCGATTATCCATACTGTAAACGGCTAATTTTAACGCCGCGATTTTAGCGAAAGGAGTGTTTTCGCCTACGTTTTTCCGTGCCAGTCTTAAATGTGTGAGTACACTACCCTACAATACTTCTACTAGTCCTCTCATTTTCTTACCCTGAAACTCCCATCTCTAAAATATTTCATCATAAAAATTTACCCTCGAAAATTGGCCGTTTTACGGTAATGTTTTGGGCAGCGAATAGCGTTCCACCGCTCATGCTGAAATCGAGATGTGAGTCAAACACCATGAGCCCTCACAGGTCTCGGCACTCCTGGATTTCAAGTTTCCAACTACCCGTAGCGGACACGGAAATCCAGTCGATTGACCGGGGCCGGTGCCCTCAGCGCGTACAGAACGCTGCGTGCAGTGCACAAAGTCATGTTGATCCGATCCCGATGCGACCAGCTCACTGCATGCGCATTATAATGATGTGATGCATGTTCCACTTATCCATGGCTACATGTTCTAGGCTGCATGGCCAGCGCCCTGGGGCCGCTAGACGTGCGACCGGATTTTTCCTTGTCCACGACAGTACATGTATGATGTACACTGAGATTCTCGTGAAAGCATCAGTCATCCGTGTGCATTCAGTGACTTCACGGCCAGCAAAGGTGCCACGCCTCGGTCATACAAATAAGGACGTTGTCAGCATTTTTCTTCACTTCTGCAGATCATTGTTTTCAACCGTACATCATATCAGTCACTGTGTCAGTCTTACTCCGCGCATTTATGGTGCATTGAAGCGCTTACCACTGTCGTGGACATGGAAATCTGGTCGGGGGTCAAGTCGCCCCAGGACGCTGGCCATGCAGCCGAGAGTCTGCATACGATCGACATGAGCACTGCAGCTAACATTCGGTGCTAGATAACTTTTCTCCACCTTCCTAGGCCGTCACAGCCGGAGCACCTGAGGCTGCCCCACTTTTTCGGCCGTTTTCCACTGATGATAGTGACAAGAAAATTGATTCTGGAAAACATTTGACTTCGTAGATGGGGGGGGGGGGGGAATCGTGAGGTCCCGAGTTCAAGACCCGCGCTGGTAGCAGGGAGCATGTAAAAAGTCTGCGTGTTGAACTGCACCGACACCCACGGTCAACTGGGTACCCACAGCTCGGAGTGAGAATAACAAGGATGCAGTTTACAGGGTTATGGGCCGTTACGCGCCCGATTGGTTGAGAGACTAACCTCCTTTCCCCTGACTCACTTGTGAGGTCTGCATCCGCCACTAAGGTTAACAGGCATAGTGGTGGCCTGCGGATGCGAAGGCTAGTTTGTGTGTTTCTGACCATTCAAGCGATGCCGACGCGGATCCCGCGAATATTAGATGCATGGTAATGACGGCAGAGTTAGTCCTACTTATTGCTTTCTTTTTCTTTCTTTTTTTGGAGCACACTGCAACAGAGCGCAATGATCGCGCAAAAGTGGCAAATGATGAAGAATTCTTGCCCCTATCGTGGTTTGTAGCAGAATCAAAAAGTCTTTCGTTGCAGTAAGACTGAGATGGCACCAAATGCCTGGAAATGCTTGCAATCGGCTCCAATTTTTGAAATTTTTGCCGGGGAGGGTAATCAAGGATCCTAGTCCCCGATCGTACTGCCCTCTGGGTTTTTTGGGAAATCAAAAAGTCTTTCATTGTAGTTACACTGAAATGGCACCAAATGCCCAGAAATTCTTGCAATTGGCATCAGATTATTGAATTTTTTTTTCGCACCTTCCCCCCCCCCCTTCCATGGCCGTCTCACCTCCAAAGTCGGTGCGACGGGCCTGCCTGCTCCCAGCCCCATGTCATCTCCACACTTATACAATGGACGACAAGATAACTACATTGGAAAGACTGTTTATTGCAAGATGACAACGGAAACACAACTAGACATGACAAACTCAAGATGAAGACTGCTTTTCACACCCCAGCACCACGCGCATGCAACAACACAAAATAACGTACTGCAACAATTCTGTACGCACTGAGGGCGCCGGCCCCGGTCATTCGATCGGATGTCCACGTCTGGGACAGTAGTATTACGGTGTTAAAGGGTGGCACGAGGGAAAAACTGCTAAAAGGCTGATGGCACCGTAGTAGGCTTTGGCTGTTTGTTTACATCCTCACTGCATGGTTGCGACTGTTTCTGCATTAATTCCACAAAAGCCCGCGAAAAACCCAGTCGTGAAGCATGCCTATACTATCGCCGCAGCTATACCGAATGCTTGCCTGTCAGTTTTCAAAGCCAGCACAGAAGCCAGGTTCCGTGTTTGAAAGAGTATGTTTCACGTCCAACCTTGACAGTTTGAAGTTGACAGCACAGGGAAACATCCTCACTGCGTGGTTGCGACTGTTTCTGCATTAATTCCACAAAAGCCCGCGAAAAACCCAGTTGTGAAGCATGTCCATACTATCGCCGCAGCTATACCGAATGCTTGCCTGTCAGTTTTCAAAGCAAGCACAGAAGCCAGGTTCCGTGTTTGAAAGAGTATGTTTCACGTCCAACCTTGACAGTTTGAAGTTGACAGCACAGGGAACTACTTACAGTGGGTGACGGCTATCTGAGAACATCTAGCAGTGTGTGTGTGTGTGTGTGTGTGTTTGTGCATGTGTGCGTGCGCGCGTGTGTGTGTGTGCATGTGTGAGTGTGTGCATGTGTGATGTCATGGCCCGTGACTGGAACTAGACCTGTTTAAACTGGCACCCCAGTCCTACACATGTTTGCCCCAAAGGCTACGGCCTGCCAGCTGATGTAACAACTGACAGAAATTGATCTTTTGATCGAAGCTCTGTGGCCAGGTTCTTTTCACAAACAGTAATTGGGAATTGCGATCTCTCACTGCTTTCGCCTTGCATTTCTCATTGTAAACTCTCGCATGTGTGTGTGTGTGTGTGTGTGTGTGTGTGTGTGTGTGTGTGTGTGTGTGTGTGTGTGTGTGTGTGTGTGTGTTCCGTGACAGATATCGACAGATGCGCGGAAAATCCCTTTCTCTGTGGGAGTTACTTGCGGTGTGTGCCTACCATGCTCAGCTATCAATGCAAGTGTTCGCTCCCTTCCTATTGGAAGCTCACTCAAGACTACCCTCCCATTTACTCTAATCAACCCGAGGGCTGCATTAACTCATGTAAGGACATAGGGGGACGTGTGATTCCTGTCGCCCTACGCTTCAATATAGCTTGTTCCTCGTGCATGTACTTGAAAATGAAAATCAATTTTTTTATCTGACACTGACTTCTGTAAAAAAGTTTTTATAACCCAGTGTCAGATGCTGTATTTGATGATTTTTCTATTGTCCTCAAATTTTTGGAGGCACCACTTCGGCCAATTAATCATCCCTTTTAAATAATCACCATCACCACGGTTGTACACTGCTATTGCAATAGTTAGTATAGCAACAATGGGATCAGCTGCGAACCAATTCTATACATACATGAAGGCAAGTCGTTGAGTGGATTCCAACATGTATAGTGAATGTGCTTCTAATACTCATCAAAAGGACACACTTCAGGCTCTTTACGAACATCTTGAAAGTTTTTGGTTTCACAAGTAAAATACTTTCAAGCCTTCTCATCAGGTGAAATACAGGCAAGGGAAAAGGAACAGGAACAGTGAATTAAGTACAGTAATCAGGCGCGTGCGCCGGTGCCCTTCAAGGGGGGACCTCCCCCGGGAAAATTTTAAAAAAATGAAGCAAAATCCTGCATTTTGAGCGAGAAAAGGGGGGTTCCGGGCACCCAGGAACCCATATGGGGCACGCGCATGGTAATAGGCTATTCATACTACGTTACAATACGCGTCACGTTTTGGAATACGACGTACTGGCAGACGTCGTTTTCATGCAGGTGCATTCACACAGGCACGTACACGCTGCTCGTACAGCTGTGTGTACAGCTTCTTTTGGACACAAACTGCCAGGAACGACAGAACGAAACTCGGTACAGGGGTCCGGATACGTCGTCTACGTTTTCGTATCAGGGGTACGATTTTCCCGCCACGTTCCATGTTGCCATGGCTATCCGAACGAAAACGTCACGTACGCCACGTTTTGGATGTAGTGTGAATGGCCTATTAGGAGGTAAAACAGGGCAAAGAATAAGACACTAGTAGGTAAAGCAAACAGCGGAAATGCGTGACCTATACACATAGCAATAATGACACAAGGGTGCAAGTGCGAGAAAACTCAATAAGCGTTACATGTAGTGCGACAACAAGAGACAACCACTGGACATAGCTAACGAGGTTTTTGACGACCTACCTAACAGCCTAAGTGTGAATTTAGTTTGCTTCTGCTTGCAAAGGTTGGGTTTCTTTGTGTGGATGTATACGGCTTCCAAAACATTCAGTAATCTAGCACTGCGTACACGTGACACAATCGAAAAACAATCATCTGAATACACAGCACGACAATCAGGATGCTCAAACAAATGACTAGCAATGGACAACTCATACTTATCAGAACTAACATCAGAACAATCAGCATGTGCGGTGGACACAATCGATATCAAATGGCTAGTCGAGTGGACCCTAGCCGTTGCCTCTGTCAGTGCTTTAGATACTGCCATCGCCGTCGTTGCCGATCTTGTCATTCTTCTAGTTGATGCAGTTCCTGTCACTGCCACGCCAGTAGGTGTCTTGTCCGGTTGTTTTTCCGGTGGTCTAGTTAATTGTGAGGTGACGTTGCTTGGTGTTGATGCCGCTGCGTTAGACCATCTTGTACCAGGATGATTCTTTGCTGGACGTCCCCTCCGTAGCCGAGTGGATCGTGCGTGTTGTGGAATAAGGTGTAGCGGTGCGTGTTGTCGGATGCGTGCGTCCAGATGTTGAAGAGTCCTACCTTCATATCGGCTCTAACATTGCCGACACTCGAAGTGATAAATCAACTTGGATAATTGGCCTATATATAGGACGTCCTTCCTCACCGTGAACGCACGCACCGTGGAGTAGATGAAGCGAATATGAACATTATGGTAATTGGACTCCACGGCAGACTTAACCCAACGCTGAACCATGCGTGATACTGGGCGCTTTCGATTACACGTTTACACAATTCTGGAACTGGGTTTTGTAATTCTCGAATGACCAAAATGTACGAATTCCGGCCATGTAAACGAACGACTGGAATTCACAACGCATTTCATTCATGGCATATCACAAACAAAATTGGTCGTAAAAAGATATCACGTACACCCTCGCACGCGCGCGCGCGTCGACCCAGCTTCACGTACCTGTCCATCTCGGCGAAGGCTCCATGTCGGCAACAACATTGGGCTTCGATAAAGCTGAACGCGTGTGCGAAAGGACCAACCAAAATGATCTGGTCTAATAATCAGCTCCCAGCGTAAACTCAACAGCGGCAATAAGCTTTTCGGGAAGACAAAAGTAGCAACTACATGCAGTTGTAGCCCTGCTTTCGTGCCACACTGGCCAGGGAGGCTCTTCCTTGACTTGAGTCATGCATGACCAGACCGGTAACACACCGAGTGTGCAATTCTGGCGCCAGAATTAGAGAAATTCCGCCCTCTCTTCAGAATTGACGGATTTGACGGAATTGGATAAAATCAATTCTAACGACGGAATTTGCCACTTCTGTGTAATCGAACTGTGCATCAACAACAACTAATTCTAGAATTGACCGAAATGCGTGTAATCAAAAGCGCCCACTGACTCGCCCTTCCACGGTAAACACTTCTCTACGCGCGCTGTCACTATGTACCGCGCTTTGCTTGCTTGCCTCCTTCTTTTATACTGCTGTTCTTTCCATGTCCATTTCATTCCTGATGATGGTCATAAAGACCGAAACGTTGTAACGATACCAATGGATTTGTGTGAAATGCAGTGCTCTCTTGAGTGTAGGCAGGTTGCCTGCAAACGATTAAAGTATAATGAAGCTGCGTGAAGCGTCCTTCAAAATTTTGTTTTATTATTATTATTATTATCTTCTTCTTTGCTCTGTTTTACCACCTCCTTGCTGTACTTAATTCACTGTTCCTTTTCCTTTCCCTTGCCTGTATTTCACCTGATGAGAAGGCTTGAAAGTATACTTTGTGAAACCAAAAACTTTCAAGATATTCGTAAAGAGCCTGAAGTGTGTCCTTTTTCTGAGTATCATCGCATTTTTGTCTCAGAGGAAACTGTCTACTTATTTGGAATGTGCTTCTGGCAAGCCTTCTGCAGTTGCGCTTCTACAGTTGCCCTCGGTGGAATCCGGCCCAGAGCGCAACTTTGGCGCCCTCAACTAGCACGTTTTTGATGAAGTGGCACGAATGCGGCTGGACGTACACATGTACAAATGGAATGATGTAATCGGAACGTGTCCAGGGCGCCGGCTTTGCACTTCAGGTCGGATTTCACCAAGCACAACTGCATATACGTGACTCTGCATGCAGAAGATCATTTGGAATTGCTTTCCATGCCTGTGTCAGACAAATAGCATTTCTGCGGCAGTGTTATGGCGTATTTTTTCCGACAGCTGCCTGATCTGAAAATCAAAATAATGTTGGGACTTTCTGCGAAGTTAAAAAGGAGAACTTAAACAAAATACTTACCTACCTGTACATAATTATGGTGATAAAATGTTATGGAATCACTATTCATGTTTTCATGTTAAACTAATGACAATTATCTTTTCCTATTTTGATTGGGAATTTAAACATGGAAAAATGTGGGCACAAGTCATGCGATCGAGTCCACCAACTGAACCAGATTTTGAACAGTCAGACTTGCACAATCTAGCACAACACTGACAAGGAGTACCAGTACTGAGACATTCCACGACATGAAAGTCGGCTTGAGCACTGCTCGATAGCGCTAACCAACGGCCTTCCGACCTGGAAGGTTTATGGATATTAGTGCTAATTCCAAAGTGGGGAAGGTAAGCGCCATCAAGCCGAGCACAAGCTACACATGATTCCAAGGCGTCATGGAATGCTTGCTTGGTATGATAACGGGACGGCAAGACCAGACTGAATGGTCAACCACAATTCGTCCAGTTATCGTACCAAGCAAGCATTCCATGACGCCTTGGAATCATGTGTAGCTTGTGCTCGGCTTAATGGCGCTTACCCTCCCCACTTTGGAATTAGCACTAATATCCATGAACTTGCCAAGTTGTCCTATCTATTGAGTTGTGCTAGTTACAGTGAACTTTAGCCTCTGTTTTCTTTACCTTCTTTTGTTTTTAAGCTGGCTGGCGTAAATGTACCAGAATTGAAAAAATAGTGCCCTCTCTTGAATATTGTCCTCTCTTGAATGGTGCCCCATCTGTGATGGACATTAAAAATATAGTGTCCCAGGGGCATTAATCGCTGGAGTACATCATCCCCAGTCTAGATATCCCCACCCACTCACACCACAACCCCCAGTCTAGATATCCCCACCCACGCACACCACAACCCCCAGTCTAGATATCCCCACCCACTCACACCACAACCCCCAGTCTAGATATCCCCACCCACGCACACCACAACCCCCAGTCTAGATATCCCCACCCACTCACACCACAACCCCCAGTCTAGATATCCCCACCCACGCACACCACAACCCCCAGTCTAGATATCCCCACCCACTCACACCACAACCCCCAGTCTAGATATCCCCACCCACGCACACCACAACCCCCAGTCTAGATATCCCCACCCACTCACACCACAACCCCCAGTCTAGATATCCCCACCCAATCACACCACAACCCCCAGTCTAGATATCCCCACCCACTCACACCACAACCCCCAGTCTAGATATCCCCACCCACGCACACCACAACCCCCAGTCTAGATATCCCCACCCACTCACACCACAACCCCCAGTCTAGATATCCCCACCCAATCACACCACAACCCCCAGTCTAGATATCGCCACCCACGCACACCACAACCCCCAGTCTAGATATCCCACCCACGCACACCACTCACCCCAGTCTAGATATCCCCACCCACGCACACCACAATCCCCAGTCTAGATGTTGTACATGTGGCTACGCGTGTAGCTCTTTGTCGTACATGCTGCTGCGCTTATGTCTCTTTGTCGTACCTGCTGCTGGATTTGTGTCTCTGTGTCGTACATGCTGCTGACCCGTACATGCTGCTGACCCGTACATGCTGCTGCGCTGCTTTATTGTATTGCTGACACATGCACCTTTTTGTGCTGATATCGAGTACACCACTTTTTGTGCTGATATCGAGTACACCACTTGTTGTGCTGATGAGCTCACCAATTTCCGAAATATGTTTCCTTTTGCCAGTTGTCAGTTGTCACTTCTCTCGTTGGCTCTTGAAGTGTGGTACAGAATAGCTATCTCTCTCGGTATCGAGAACTACTATTTTCCCAGACCTTTCGTTGCGTGGCGAGGTGAGAGCGTAGATAAATAGTTCATTCTTCGGGCAAGACGACATTTGGCGCCCAACGTGGGGCTCGAACCCACGACCCTTAAATTAAGAGTCTCATGCTCTACCGACTGAGAATCCGTCATTTCCATGCTAACCGGGGGCAGTGCTGTACGGTGAAATGGAACTCAGCCAGCGTGCTTAGCCATCGCGCAGTTTGTCCCGTCGGATTCTTAAAATTCATCAGCCATCTCAGACTACCATAATCCGTCCTCAACAAAAATGGACGCAGCAGCGGGTACGGGTCAGCAGCATGTACAACAATAGAGAGACAAATACAGCAGCAGGTACAAAACGAGATACAAGCGCAGCAGCATGTATGACGAAGAGCTACACACGCAGCCACATGTACAACATAGATGTCCCCACCCACGCACACCACAATCCCCAGTCTAGATATCCCCACCCACGCACACCACTCACCCCAGTCTAGATATCCCCACCCACGCACACCACTCACCCTAGTCTAGATATCCCCACCCACGCACAACACTCACCCCAGTCTAGATATCCCCACCAACGCACACCACTCACCCCAGTCTAGATATCCCCACCCACGCACACCACTCACCCCAGTCTAGATATCCCCACCCACGCACACCACTCACCAGAGTCTAGATATCCCCACCCACGCACACCACTCACCCCAGTCTAGATATCCCCACCCACGCACAACACTCACCCCAGTCTAGATATCCCCACCCACGCACATTACTCACCTTCCACTGATCCACTAACACCCCAATTCCTCTCACATGTAGCAACTGTCTCGGTTGTGTGTGTTTGTGTGTGTGTGTGTGTTTGTGTGTTTGTGTGTGTGTGTGTGTGTATGTGTGTGGTGCGGTGCGGTGCGGGGCGGGGCGGGGCGCGGCGTGTGTGTGTATTGTTGTACCTACCACCTTTGTTGGTTTCAGGGTTCATATACTTTCTATTTGAAGTATACGTACCTGTTAACCATGGACTGCTTCTGGCTAGATTAAGTCTTGTGTAATCTATGGTGCTAGTGAAGCATATCAGATCCACTCTGATTTAGCCACCCACACAAGTAGCAAGTATTACCTTCACTGGGGGCAGGGGTACCTGCAGTTGGATCCCGGGACGGATACCCTGATGCCGTCAATCCTTTTTCTGCACCTTGTCCTCACCCACTTACTGAGGTGTGGTGAGCCCATAAGTGGGATCATTTCAAGTCCACCCTAGTTTGGGGATTTCAGGGGCTGTCGGCCATTGGGTGGTTTAATGGCCAATCGAGTCATCTTTCCAAGATTCCTTTTGAGTCTCTCTCCCCTCTCCCGGGGAGACCCACGTGACCAGTTTTGGAAGTGAGCAAGTACAAGTACAAGTGTGTGTGTGTGTGTGTGTGTGTGTGTGTGTGTGTGTGTGTGTGTGTGTGTGTGTGTGTGTGTGTGTGTGTGTGTGTGTGTGTGTGAAAAAATGAAAAAGACCAAAAAGTAGGGATTCACTGGCCAGAAAAAGCCACTTCATAGCTGTGTGGTGTAGACCAGGCTGAATGGTGGCGGTCAATTCTTCAGCCTTGCAAGCTGTTGAATGGTGCAATCCCAGCACAAGCTGCTATGGCTTCTGCTGTAGCATCGCTATCATCGCCTCCGGCGATGGGCGTCCAATGGTCCAATGGTGTGTGTGTACAGTCAACTTTGCGTATAACGACACTCGGCGGGGCATGAGAAAAGTGTCCTTATTCGCGAAATGTCCTTATACTGTATAGCAGGAAATTTTCGGACGGAAATATTTTCGGACAAAGCCGAATTTCGACATTTCGTACGGATTTTATTTTCGTACAGTGGTGCATGCTAAATACACTTGTTTGCTTGCGGTACGCATGTATAGTGTACATAACTTCAAAGGAACAAATTTTAGTACGGAATTAATTTTAGTACAAAAGAGGGCGTGTACGAAATCGTACGAAAATAAATTCCGTCTGAAAATTTCTTGCTATACAGTACCCGAATTCTCATTATGTATTACAGTTAGAAGGGAATTTGCTCTGGGCTTGGAAATTCTAATAATAGCTAGGCTTTTTTCATTTGACCCGACGAGACCACACGACGCTTGCAGGAATTCGAATTGTCGAATTCGAAATTCGAATTGTCGTTAAATCCGCAGTCGTTATTAGTGAAGTTGACTGTATGGTTGTGTGTGTGTGTGTGTGTGTGTGTGTGTGTGTGTGTGTGTGCGTGCGTGCGTGCGTGCATGCGTGCGTGCGTGCGTTTGTGTGTGTGTGTGTGTGTGCGTGCGTGCGTGTGTGCAGCGGTTTCCAATCGATAGGTTGCGGGTTCGATTCCCGACGATTATGGTCACACGTCTTTCTTCTCTTTCTTAGACTACTCCTGAATTTTCTTTCATTCTCCTGGGTTGTTACCAACAGCCAGTGCATGCCGGAGTATGTGGTGTGATGTGCGTGTGTGCGTGAAAAAAATGAAAAAAGACAAGACCCAAAAGTAGGGATTCACTGGCCAGAAAAAGTCACTTAATAGCTGTGCGGTGTAGACCAGGCTGAATAGTGGCGGTCAATTCTTCAGACTTGCAAGCTGTTGAATGGTGCAATCCCAGCACAAGCTGCTATGGCTTCTGCTGTAGCATTCGCTATCACCGCCTCCGGCGATGGGCGTCGAATGGCCAATGGTGTGTGCCTGTGTCCACAAAAAGTCACTTCAATCAGCTGTGTGGTGGATGCATGTATGGATGTATAATCCATAACCATTCTGGTCGTAGGGGCGTCATGTGTGTCATAACGTATAATATAATAAGGCAGCAGCATAAAAAATAAAATAAAAAAATAATTAAAAATAAAAACCTAACTACACTGATAAACAAGCTGCCTATGCCTATCACGATCAGCAGCAACGAGAGAGAGAGAGAGAGAGAGAGAGAGAGAGAGAGAGAGAGAGAGAGAGAGAGAGAGAGAGAGAGAGAGAGAGAGAGAGAGAGAGAGAGAGAGAGAGAGAGAGAGAGAATTGAAAGACTCATTAGTCCAGTCTTTGATATTGGTGAACCAATTGTGACGGGGCGACCACGGGACCGCAATCCAGGCACCATTCCATCCAAGAAATAGTGGGAGTAGCTATCCTGATGCCTTGCTACATGTCCAAACCACTTCAACTTGGTGCGTTTAACAGTTGAATCAAGGCGTGTGAACGGGCCAATAGCATTCTTGATTTCCTGCAGTACTGACTCATTTGTGCGATGATGATGGTATTTGATGCCTAGCAGCTTACGCAGATACCTGGGCTCAAAAGCTCTAATTTGATTTAGGCTAGCTTGTGAGATGGTCCAGGTTTGGCAGCCATAGAGCACAGTAGCAAGAACAATAGCAGTTACCAAGCGGATTTTTATTTTAAGGGATATAGTTCGGAAAGTCCAGAATGTCTTCAGCTCTTGAAGCTTTGGTGTTGCCATCGCCAGTCTTTTCTTGATTTCGACGTCAGATGTTCTATCTGCAGGGATGGTCACTCGTGTGGTGGATACCAGGCTAAAATTAGTGGCGGTCAATTCATCAGCGTTGGCAAGCTGTTCAATGGTGTAATCCCAGCACAAGTTGCTATGTCTAACATAGCTGTTCGCTATCATCGCTTCCGCGATGGGCAGGTCTGAGGTCTGAGGTGTGTGTGTGTGTGTGCGTGCGTGTGCGTGTGTGCGTGTGTGTGTGTGGGGGGGGGGGGGGTGTAGCATTATGGTGATAATGCAGATTAAGGGGTGCACGCAAGTTCATGCTACCGCTCAAACTCTGCTGCTATGTTTGATAGTGGTGTTGCTGCATGCTTATGCTTTGCTGCTGGCTACGGTCGCATGCTTTGCACGTTGCGGTGACCATGTCGACCAAACAACATAGTGCATGCACACATGGTACTCCACGCAACGTTGCACTCTACGTGGCATTCATGCTTGGCACTCGCATTCGATGTGGGCGGAGTGCGACTTGGCGTTCACCATGGCATTTATAATTGGCACTCAAAGTGCGACGACATGCGATGACATGCGATGTTCGCTCGACGTGGCTCTCGACGTGACTTGCTAGAGTTCGCCTCGCCATAAATTTCGATCTGTTTTGTGTGTGGATCATTCCTGTCTACTCGTTGTGTTTCACCCTCCCACCTCCCATTTCTCATCACTCATTTAATTTGATAAAGTGAATACAAGGGGTATTGGCCACTCTCATTTCCGGATACTCAGGGCCTTCGGCTGCCGTGCCTAGGATGTATGTATTCTCTTGGCTCTGCCAAGATCCTGCTCCGGCAGTTGACTAGACTCTCGTAGATACTTTGACTCCGCCAAGATTCTGCTCCGGCAGTGTCTACCCAGCTGACCCTGGATCAACTCTTGTAGATACTTGGCTCCGCCAAGATTCTGCTCCGCAGTGCCTACCCATCTCCCTCCTTAGCCTCTCACTCCGCAGGCCGGCACTCCCCCATACCGTGCGTTGCTATGTCGTGTAGTTAATCACGTGTGTGTATGTGTGTATGTGTGTATGTGTGTATGTTTGTATGTGCGTGTGTGCATGTGTGTATGTGTGCGTGTGTGCATGTGTGTGTGTGTGGGGGGGGATGTGCGTGTGCATGCTTGTATGTGTGTGTGTGCGCACATATGTGTGTGTGTGTGTGTGTGTGTGTGTGTGTGTGTGTGCGTGCGTGCCTGCATGTGTGTACGTGTGTGTATGCCAATCCATTCCGTACCGGTACAGATGACACTATAATTATGAAAAACGTAACAATGGGCTTTGGTGAATCACTGGTTAGTGAGATTGCAGGAATTGCGCATTGTCGCGGGGCAGACAGCAGCATGTTGTATTGGGAGGATACACCGTGGTCCCATGATGCACGCTTAGACTTCCATCATTATCGACAAATTTCGCAGCTGGCTGACAGTGAGCGCTTTTGGGTGAATTCAACTTATGGATTTCAACCTTACAACAGAGCGCACGTTGAACCAGCAGGAGGACTAAAACCTAATGTACATAAACTTCCATCCCAACTTTGGAAGACAGCTCACCCATTTTGTTTAGGTAAGAACAATTTATTCACACTCTGTTGGTATATATATGAAACTCGGGTATTGAGCCAATAATAATAAAGGTATAAAGGAAAAAGGACATATGGAAACGAGTTAAGAGTAAGTAACTCTCAACCACTGTAACTAGATACTATATACAGTCAGAAAGTGCAACAACTAGGCACAAAACTGACAGAGTACTGAGGCATTCGACGTCCTGACACCTAGCTTCAACACATCTCCGTAGCGCTAACCGACAGCCTCCCAACTCGAAAGATTCAATGTTAAGGAGAGACCAAAGAGGGGAAGGTAAGCGCAACGAAAATTTGTATTTTTGTATTTTATTATATTTAAGGATTTCCCAAAGGCTTTGGGCCTGTCGAGGGGATCTCCTGCAAGAAGAATGAAATGACAACTTTATGTAGAGGGAGCAGTTAATCGAGGATAGGCTAAGGAAATAGCTCAAGGCATACAAAATCTGGTAATTAAGGAGTTGGAATACCGTCAGTGTAATGAATATATCGGCGAAATGCTGGTAGAGAGAATGCTTGAATTCTGGGAGGCTGGTTATAGAGGTAAGAGAAGGCGGTAGGCAATGCCATAGCATTGCAGCTTTGTTGGAAAAGAGGGAAGAAAAACGCACATTGTGATAATTGATGTTAAGTTTGTTTGGTCTTCTTGGACTTGAAGACAGTGAAAGGTGAAAATGTTGGAGGTGTTCTGGAGATAATATGTATAAGTTTAAATAGAGTAACAAGAGCTGATACTTGTCTGCGAAAGTGCAAGCACTCTAAGTCACAAAGGGCATTTAACTGGGATTTCGTTTCGCATCTATCGACTTTTTTACGTAGCAAATACTTCCTAGCTAATCTGGCTTGTAAAATATTTAAACCCTCCAGCTCAGCTTTGGTGATGGCATAGGACCAGGCCGAGGTGGCGTGTTCCAGGGCGGGTCGGACAAAACTTTTATATAGAAGACTTAGTGTTGAACATTCTGAAGCCTCAGTCCTCCCAAACGCAACGCAACGGACGACGGAACGAGTGGGGGGAATTATTATGGTAGACGCAACGCAACGCAACAACTACATTATGAGAGAGAGAGCTCGACTGAAGAGAGCGATTATTTGAAGAGAGTTGAGAGAGCAGCATGCAGTCTAACTACAATTCGAAGCCGCAAAACAGCACACCACCGAACTTGGGTGGCTCAGAAATATCAAAGATAAGTGTCATGGCCACGCGTTGGCGGGTTTGTGACTTGGCTTAGATCAGTCTAGTGGCTACCCAGGTAGACGACCAATATAGTCGCCATCCAAATTAGCTAGCTCACACAGAACGACAGGTTTCTAATTCCACTTGAACAGTGTTAATTGAACCATTGCAATGCTAAATCGAAAGATCAAGCGTGAAGAGTCAAAGACCCAAAACAGGAGAGAGTCGGAGGAGTAGTGAGCTCCCCGAGAGTCGAGGATGAATGCTAGCAAAAACAGCTCCTTATAATTATGCTACATTATGTGATCAAAAGTATACAGCGGCAAAAGTGCGTAAGGATTATTTCTATATTTCAAGTAGGGGTGAAACGAGTATATCGAATACTCGAGCGCTCGCTCGAAAATTTGCAACGAGCGAGTACTCGTTTCGCAAAATACTCGAAGTATCCTATGTACAGTGTATTGTATACATGTACATTGAGCATTTCTGTTACTCTGACCAGTACTGATAGTCCATGCTAGAACGAAATTATTGCTTGTCCCTACTTACCAGGAAAAGACAGTAGTCCAGACTATTTCCTGCACCATGCTGCATGCATGCAAGACTGCATGTGTATCGGGTGTACTACGTTCGGTGGGGCGAGAGTGTGTGCAGTGCATTGTTTTATGTTGTCAGTTCAATACTCGTACTCGCTCGAATACTCGCTCGTTTTTTCAAAGAGTGCTCGAGTCCCCAAATTTGGCACTCGTTTCACCCCTAATTTCAAGCAGTGGTGCAATATATGCAATCAGCCGAACTAGAATAGAGTACAAAGATCAATATGGGGAGCCCATTCACCCAAATGTGAATACAGTGTTCTCCAAATGCTGGCATGATCTTGATCCGCGATCCGGTGGCTGGGATGCATTGCAGCAGGCGGAAAGCGTAGCTGTGTCGTTCTTGTGGCTTCACCCAATATGGGCTCTTCCCGCAAACATAGCAGCAGGCGGCAATGCCGTGTTCCCTCCAATGGACCTGGGGTCTAGAGACAGTAGAGTATGCGAAGTACTGTCGACCCTTTGCGTCTTACGACACGAGAAGAGGCGCCGCTCTTGCTCAACTAACAAAGGTATCAGCTCCCTTGCGGGACTAAGCGTGGCCACCTCAAGTTCAAAAGTGTAGTGAGTACAATGCTGACGACTTGTACTGAAGGTGTGGCCGACGAACGACCACACTTTGCGGCTCTAGGCCACGAGTTGTAAGCCATGATTGCTCAACTAACGAAAGTGCCAAATCCTTCGCAGGACTAATCATGGTTCTTACAGAACTCTAGAAAATTTCGGAGCCCAGCTTTTGGCTGCTGAGCTCAATGCATGGTCGCTTTCACGACCGTCTGATCCGGGTCATGACAATTCCCCGGCCTCTCAAGAATCACTTCCCCGTGATCTCAACTAACATTTAAGTCAGCGAGTCGTGACGGTAACCGCCTAGCTCTCGTTGGCCAAGCCAACTGGTTCTGTACCGCAAAAGGTACTTGCAAAGAGTACGAAATGTGGCTCCACAGGAGGGACATTTCCATCGAAAAAATGTCCAACTTCAAATGAAACTGGTAGTGCTCCACTATCGTAGAGATAAGCCTGGTGCTGATGAACAACACGCAGCTTGTCATGTACAACTGAATGCACGTTGCCAATCCTCACGCAAAGCGTATACGTATGACAGTTCGCCATTTCGTGCCATCTCAGATGGATGTAGACCATAGGCCATAACGTGTGGTCGACACACCCCTCTACCACGTAGGTATCAGGTTCAGTACAAAACTGCCGCAGAGCTCCAGGAGCCATTTCATAGACTTGGTGGTACGTATCCAACGAATCGGTTCCACCCATACTCCACCAAAAGATCTTGGTGACCTCGCCAAGACTTCCACAGTAGGTTCATTGCTGCCAACAAGGACAGACGCAATCCACACACACTGTAGCACAGTTCTGTGGTAGTACAGTACGGCTTCGCAACCAACTCGCTGAACACAGTATCGCAACATTTCAGATGTTCATCAATGAACGCTGAAACAGTGATTTCATTCTAGATACACTAGAAAGCAGATACGCCGCAAATGGTCCCTGAGCAGTAAACTCATGAGCCGTTGGAATGAGCTGAGCTCATTGCACATTCCGAATGGCATTACAAGAACTAATAATGGCCACCGATCGTAGAGAAGACAGTCTTCTCCTTGTCTGCAACTGCCAAAGGCATAGTAACAACCTGAACACAGGTCTAGGGTGCAACATGGTTGCGTCGTACAGAGCACTAAGCGTCTCTTCAATTTGCAGGAGGGGATACAGGTCCCACTTGGTCACAGCATTAAACTTCATGTAGTCAACACTAATCGTGTCAAACTGGCTGTCTTTCGACAAGTGCAATAGGCGACCACCAAGGATCAGTAGAATCTTCCACCAGCCTCTGCCGTTTCATATTTTCAACAATCTCGCAAGCAGTTTCACGAGAATTCCATGGCATCATAGTATGCCGAGCAGCCTGTGCAACAGGACCACAATCATGTGTCTCAATCTTGTGGTGTAGCACCGAAGTGCGACCAAGCTCAGATGGGTTCAAAGCGAACGCATCTCTGTACCGAAGCACTAAGGCCTGCAAGCAGTGGATCTCCTCGCGGGAGATACCAGATTGTCCTAGAGAGGTCTCACTACTATATCTACCTCCACCCGCCGCTGTGGGCACCTGGACCGAGACCAGCTCGTCCCTACCACTACGGGAGCAACCTCCAACCGTATCTGTGGGCCTCTGACCGAGTCTAGCTCGTCCCTACCACTGCGAGAGCGTCCTCCAATTGCCTCTGTGGGCTGGACTGAGACCAGCTCGTCCCCACCACTGCGGAAGAATCCTTCAACCACCTCTGTGGGCTGCCCCGGCTGGACTGAGACGAGCTCGTCCCTACCACTGCGGAAGAATCCTTCAACCACCTCTGTGGGCACCTGGACCGAGTCCAGCTCGTCCCTTCCACTGTGGGAGGATCCTCCAACCGCTTCTGTGGGCTGGACTGAGACCAGCTCGTCCCTACCACAGCGGGGAGCTAGAGCGGGACAATCTATGCCAATGCGCAACTGCTTCCAGACCCCGAGGGGGTCCTCTGTCTCAGCTACTTGAGCTAATTCTTCTCTCTGGCCAGCGGCCATAGTCACGGTCTTCGGTCATGATACTCATGACGTCAGATATTGGTTTCAACCGACCAATCTGCATCGCCCTCTCTAGAGTCACTGCCTCGTCAGAGTAATTCAACAACCGTACGGGAACACCATCCACCGTAGGGCTCACTAGCGCATGCGCCATCATCACATCGTTCATCCCTTGAAAACACCCATCAGGTATCGTCAAGGCACAGGTCGGCAACCCTTCCGACGTGACTAGCACGGCGTTAACCGTCACCTCTGAAAATGGAGGCATCATTTCACGTCTCCGCAAGCGAAGAACGTGCTCTCGTTTGCCATCACCATCATGGCTCGGCGGAACGACGTCAGCTTTAGAAGCTTTAAAAAATGCAGTGTTCCATCACCCGAAGTCATCTCGCAAGGAATTGGGACAGCACATCGCGTCCAATGTCAGAACCGGCATCATACCCAGTACGTGAGGAAACACCACAGGGTGCGGACGTCGCGACAGATCCGACACCAAACAGGCATCGTCCAACACAGAAGTGCTGGTTTCAGGTGGGCATCGGCTCACTAGTGATTACCATCACACTCCAATCAAAACATTCGAGATCCGCATCAACGAACTCAAATCAGCAGTTGTTCAAGCTCTCTGCAG